AAAGAGGACTTCCAGAACTGCTTCAGAGAGTGGCATGAATGATGGGAAAAGTATGTTCGAAGTGAAGGGGAGTATTTTGAGGGGGATTAATGGTAATGTGTCTTTTACCGCAACAATTTTTTTTATTTTAAAGTTCACCATATCTTTTGATCACACCTCGGATATCCCTACATTGAAAATTATATTCTAAAAGATGACATTCCTCTGTAAATTCAAAGGTGATAGCAAAATGATAATACAGGTTCCCCGAGTTAGTGATCCTGAAAACAGTTACAATTCCTAAACGAAACCAACTCAAGACTAAAATCATTGAGTCAATAATGTGGTGTTTAATCTACATGTCTGCATTTATGTATAACAAGAACAGACCTCTGGGGAAAGCCCACACATTTGTAATGCAGTGGGGAAGATGGCCACCGAAAAGGGATCTGGTAGTGAATCTTTTTCTAGAATCTACATCATATTTTATCAATTTCACAAATTTGGTTATTTGTAAACTAGAATTTTTTTTGACATGGTCAAGATTTCTGCATATAAAATATAGACCCTAAGGAGCAAGCCACTCCCAAAAGGGATAGCTCCTTTTTAAGGTTTAGTACATTGTCAGAAAATCAAAAGAGATGTCCAACAATAATGAATTATGTACTGTTTTCTTCGACGCTTGCCCCATCCAAAAATATAAACATATCTAGCAATACATACTAGAAAAAAGAAAGGAGAAGGAGATAGTATTCCAACTGGTTTGTTTTGGGGGGTCCATGAATACTACATCAAACATCTGGATGACAGGGTTGAATAGTTATTGATGTAAGTGGACAGAGAGTATCCCATGATTATACCTTAGTTTTGTTGTATCTTGCATGCAAAAGTAATAACTGCAAACGGATCTTTTCTTTCTTACTATCCTCCATAGGTTGATGTAACATTTGTTCTCCTCTTTGTAGAACTTCCTCAATCTGGGCTCTCTCCTCATCCATCTGAATGTTTAAAAGGAAAAAATGTGCTCAGAAGGAAAATGCATAGGGTCACTTACTATCAGTACCCAAGTAGGAGAACTGAGCTATAAAGTATAAGTCAAGGTATGTGCATCTGAATTATATACAATAAAAATTCATGTTTCTTCTTAACATATTTTATATTTTAAGTTAAAACATCTCATAAAGAATACTAGTTTAGCAGAAGTTAGATAGCATTAAGATAATACTACCTTTACTCAGAAAGCACAATGTCTCTCTTTTTAAAGCATCATGTAAATCATGTAGCAAATCTTACATCGACACTCATCAGAAAATCACATTTGGATCTGTTCTTTCGTGTGTAGCAGGTATTTGGGTAAAAAATATAAATGTAAAAATATAATTAACACAGAAGAAAAATGAGTAGACCATAGTTTTAAAAATCTCCTTGAACCAACCTTTTCATCTTCATTACTGGTTTCCAAGTGTTTTTCCATAACTTTTAACATATTTTCTATGTCATATTCTAATTTTTCCAAGTCAGAGAAAGGCACATCAGTTTCAAATGCTTCAGTGGTGACCAGACATTGGTATGATAATGGTTCTTGGCCAATTAGCAACTGTAAAAGAAAAAACGTTCTTAGAAACAATATTCTTAACTTGACCTTCTGTCATTAATAAGAAGGATGGCGTGTCAAGGTAGAACTAGCATTTATTTGAATTGACTTTTATTTATTCATACAGCAATGATTTCACCAATGTGGGCTTCTCTTAATTACCCATTTTCTCCAAACTCTAAGCTAGAGATGTGACATAGTATGCAAATGACTGTGGTGGCCTCGAATGCTATGTGAAGGATTCTAAGACCATATGTGAGCACAGGAGGAAATGGTGCCTTGATCCAAAAGCCATCCCTGCCATGGCCACAGACATGAAGGGGGGCCACCACCTAGTACACATACATCCCAAAGAAAGTCTTCCCAGTATTCCCCCTGGATTTTGATACCCAAAATTGAAAGAAGTATATATTTCTCAATGCAGTATTTTCAGACAATATATATTTAGAAAGACTTTACATTTATGTGACTAAACTCAATGTAACAATTTTAATAAAACCAAATAACAGGCAGGAGAATGACATGTAATATTGATTGAATGTGGGAAAACTAGCACTCTGACACTCTGATTGTGAAAGTATAAACTGGCCCAAACTTTCTGTAGGATTCACTCTTTGGAAAATCTGTTTAACACAACTATTTAAATCTATTTATACACAACTTTTGCAACAGTTTCAAGGAATTCTAAGAATTGATCCT